TTAATTTATAGCCCCTGCCCTGAACTTCTCTTCTATCTACCTCAATACTATGTCTCTGTTTACCCCTAAAAGTAATAAATGAGAAGATCCATTTCTCACATTCTCATCTGCCTTTTTCCATGTGGCTTTGCTTCCCTTTAATCTATTTTACTGTCTACGCCAGCGATGTTTGAAATTTCCATCAGAAGTCCGAGAACCGTCTCTTATTTGTGATCTTAAATGAGCTGCAATAGTCAATAGATACCCAGAGTAACAATGCACAAGATGATTAAAAGATACCCGTGGCAAAGCAAAGTCTCCACCTCTTGGCTGATTTCCACTTTAAACACTGTAATCCTTGAACTAATACCATTGTCCAACTTCTCAAAAGGGTATTGTATCCAGGAATAGCATTATTAGTAATGTGTTCTACAGGCTTCCAATAAAAGACATTAAATAAAAGAGAGAACATTTTAATTGGGTAATATTAAAACATTTACTTCCAAATGCACTCGCTTTAAGCAGCTTGAACAAATTACTTATTCCCCATAGATTATTCTGAATGGTAATTCTGTAATAAAAGATTCTAGAAATTGTGCATTATCACCACTGGCATTGTAATTTTTATTTCAGAATCTTAGTAATCGAATATTCATTATATAATTATAATTAAAATGCATGATTCTCTTAAGAATGCTTATAACTCTTCAAAGAAATATGAACTTTAAAGGAATAAAAGTTGGGGATTAAAATTACTCAAAAGGGGTAACTTTTAGTTTTAAAGAACTGTGGAATTGCAAAATAAAGAGAAAAAGGAAAAAGAAAGGAAAAGAGAAAGAAGACAACAAAAATGTCATAAAAGAAACAAAGTATACCTGTAATGTGCTATAATGTGGGTATATAATATTAATTTAATTTTATAGTTGTGGAGAAAAATAAACAAGGCATGGAAAACCAAGTAAACTACATATTCCTGGAAAGTTGAAGTTAAGATTTATTATACTTAGCTTCCCACCAGACCAATGGCAGTTCCTTCAAATCTGGGGAACACTGGGTAAATATTTGTTAAGTTAAACAGGAAGCCAATTCTGTGTGAATGTTATAACAAGAAGATCATGAGTACTTTTTCAAGTAAAAAAAAAATTCAACATTTAAAAAAATTTATGTTTGGATCCTTTGTAAAAAATAGTTTCTAAACCTAACAGTTTTAAACAGTTAAGCATACAGAGTTCCAATGTGCGTGTTTAATTAGAATGATAGTTTATGTGCTCTATAAATTACTTTTAAAGCTGATGAAGCTATAGAGAAGGCATCCAGCTCCAGGGGAGGGTAAGAGACTTGGTCTGTGGCCCTCTCTGCCACCAACACTTTGCTGCTATCGGGAGCACCCATCAATGTCTGTAGAATGCCTGAACCCGAAGCACAATCAGCCTTCTTTAGACCCACAGTATGGGTTCCAGTCATACATTATTCACACAAGTGACGCTAAGCTGTTGGCCCTGTTGCAAAGAGAAATGAGGATAATGCTCCTACCAGTAGTTAACATTACTGTCAGCCATGTGGAACTGCCATATTTCTGTTAAGCACCTAAGTGAGTACTGACCATTCCATATGGTATAATTTAATATTTTTTGAGTGTTTACAATGTGTTAAACACAGTGCTAAGTTACAGCCAATTCACTTATTTAAATTCCACCAAAATCTTTTTTTTAAACAGCCAAGCAAATTGAGATTTAAGGAATTTGCAAATATAGAAAACTAATATCAATTAGCTGAGTTAAAATCATATCTCAGATATATAGCTAAGATATAAATATATGATATATATTAGCTAAGATATAGCTATCTTAGCTAATATATATATATATATATATATCCATTTATTCTTTTCTCCTTTCCTCCATTCTAGTTGTTATTCATTTTGAGAAGTTTCTTTCCCTTTCACAATATCTATTGTAAATTTTGGATCTCATTTACTCTTTCAGTTTCTTACACTTGGGAGATGATATGTTTATGTATGCAAGTCTGTTTTATTTCACTTAAAGGTATGTAATGTAGTAACGTAGTTGCATCCATTTACCTATCAAAAGATTTCTAAAATTAATAAGCAAATTTAGTAGCATACCTGGATAAAAAGTCAGCATTAAAAAGTCAATAACATTTGTTGTTTATAACAACAAACTCACTGAGAAAGAAATTAAGTAAAACCTATCTTTTATAATAGACTTTTAAAAAGAAATACTCAAGAATCAAACTAATAAAAAAGTAAAATATCTATTCATTTCAAAATTATAGTACTCTGAAAAAGGAGATCAAACAGGATATCAGAAAATGGAAAAGTATCCCTTGCTAATAAATAGGAAGAACCAACATTGTGAAAATGACTAAACCCCCCAAAAACTTTTATATACATTTAATGCAATCCCAATCAAAATGGCATTAGGATACCTCACATATCTAGGGAAAACATTCCTAAAATTCATTTGGGTCAGAAGAAATCTAGAATAGCAAAAGCAATCCTGGGCAACAAAGGCAAAGCAGGGAGTAGCACAATCCCAGACTTGAAATTATACTACAAAGTTACTGTAATAATAGAATTAGCGTGATATTGGCAAGAAAACAGACCTGAGGATTACTATAACAGGTTAGAAAATGCAGATATAACTACAAACACACTTAGCCACCTTATCTTTGACAAAGAGGCCAAATATGTTTGTTAGAAGAAAGATAGGCTCTTTAATAAATGGTACTGGAAAAACTGGCTTTCCACAAGAAAAGGACCTAAACTATACCCATGTCTATCACCATGCATTAAACTCAAAATGGATCAAAGATCTAAATATTAAAATAGAAACACTAAATCTATTGGAAGAGAAATTAGGTAGAAATCTTGAAGATGTAGATGTAGGCAGAGAGTTCATGAACTAAAACCAAACTGCATGGGAAATACTTCAAAGAATCAACAGTTGGGACCTTATCGTTTTGAAAAGTTTATGCATGTCAAAAGAAATCAACAGAGTAAAAAGAAAACCCACAAATTGGTAAAAATATTTTAGCCAACTGTCCCTAAGATAAAGGACTTCTGCCTAGAACATATAAAGAATTTAAAAAATCAGTCCCCCAAATTCAAAGACCCAATCCAAAAATGGGCATCTGAGATGAATACGCACCTCTCAGATGAAGAAATACAAATGGCAGATAAATCTAGGAAAAAGTGTTCATCATCATTGGTCACTCAAGAAATGCAAATTAAAACAACACTGAGATTCCGTCTCACCCCAGAAAGAATGACTGTCATCAAGAAGTCAGCCGGTACCAAATGCCAGAGGGGCAGTGGGGAAAATGAACCATTCTCCACTGTTGGTGGGAGTGCACACTAGTACAAATACTATGGAAATAAGAGCAGAAAATCTTTAAAAGCTCGGATTATAAGTCTCATTCCACCCAGCTATCCTCCTTTTGGGTATTTTTCCAGAAGAAGTGAAAACATCATACCACAGCGATATGTGTGCATCTATGATTATAACAACCCAATTTGTCATAGGTAAGTCCTTGAAGTGATGTACATACCCACCAACTGAGGAATGGATTTCAAAGTGTGGTACTTTTATACAATGGAATACTGCTGAGCTATAAAGAAACACAAATTCTCTTGACTTTTGTGCGTACCCATGGTTCATTTTGTTTTATTACTCTTTATTAGTGATTATAGGACTGCATCACAGTTTATTTATCATCCGTCTCTTGATAGACATCTAGGATAAGAAGCTTCTTGGTTTTTTTTTATCCAAGGAAAGAAAATTAAGTGGTTTTAATACAGAAACCCAAGAATTGGACCAGTCTTGCTGATTAAAACTTAGTCTCCCTCTCTTTGTCACGGACAATGCAGCAAATATTGCATTAATAAGACAATGCAATAATTAAGATATTAAAGACTTACCAGTGATCTTTCCTTTCTGGACTTGTATTTCATTTATCACATTTTCTAAAACTCCAAGAATGACTTTCCACTAAAGCTATATTTGTGGAACCTTAGAATGCCAAAACCTATGCTTCACAGATTAGCATGGTGCAGAACACTATTTTTCCATGTATTTTTTTTAATTTTTAGCTTTATTAATTTTATTGAGAAACAAGTAGCAATGAGACAGTTTCAAAACTGATGAGTAGGACAGTTTCAATAATTAATACATTGCATATTGTTGTCTTCGTAGTGGTTATTCATAGTACATGGTGCAGACTTAATATCCTGCCCAAATACTATTAGTACAAATCTTTCTTCTCATTGAATGAAGAGAAAGTAGCTGTATATCTATCCTAACTATTTTGTACATACAGATACAAAATGGTCCTTCATTTATATCCCCTTTTTTGTTTAGTTTTGTCAGAGATTGGTATTCCCTAATATGTATTCTGGAAAAACTGTTCCTCTTCCAGGAGGCTGGGTGAAGCAAAACTAAATACATTTCATTCAATGCAGGTGTTCCCATAGACTCTACAATACAATTCTGTACTTCAGGTCTCCAAGAGTTAAATACAGAATGGATGTAACATTTCCCACACTTGGAAAACTCAGTATCTCCTCTCCCCCTCAGAAAATCTATTACTACTTTCCAAATTAATATGTTCTAAAACCTAAAATAAGAAATTTATATGAAATTTATCTGGGCTGAATTTTGTCCAATTTGTCAATTTGATCCCCCAGCCCCAATGTGACTATATTTGGATACAGGGCTACTTTTTAGACAAGGTTTCTACTTTTTAGACAGCATTTCAGGCTGGCCTTGAACTCGCTGTATAACCCAATCTAGCCTCAAATTCATGGTGATCCTCCTTCCTGCCTGAACCTCCCAAATGGTGGGATTACAGAACTGTGCCACCACCCTGGAGGGAAGTAGGGCTCCTGAGAAAAGAATTTAAACTTAAAAGAGGTCAGAATGATAAGGTCCACATACAGTAAAACTGATGCCCTTATAAGAAAGGGAGGAGAATGGTTAAATAGAGATATAACATTTGCCTAGCAGGAATGGAACCTTGGGTTCAATGCCCAACATTGCAAAGGAAAGAAGAAAAAAGTCTTCTCTTCTCACAAGAGACCTTTTAGAGACCCCCC